CCTGCTTCCGAGTTAAACATTTATATCAATATTTATGTTTCAATTGTCTGGAAATTATTTTGGGAATCCGGAATAGCGTGTTGTGATCGTCATAGAAAAGGTCAAATTAGAGCATTAAACAGAGTGCAGATAAAAAGGAGATAAATTCGCAGTCAGAAACAATGGGGGGCGAATATAAATTGGGAGTCATTAGTAATACGTATAAAGACAGTACGACTGTGTCATTTCAGAGCGAACGCAAAGCAACCGACATGGACAGCTATCAGTGAGAGACTTTTAATGCCATGTTACATAAGTTGGGGCAGCCACTCCCACAAAATGTAATGGAGAAAACAAAGATAGGTTGTGTGAGAAGTCAGCTTTGTGAATAGACATTGTTGACTGGAACAATTTACCTGCAGAGGTGCTGCTTGCTCTTCCCAGTAACACGTAAGTGATGAGTTCGAGAGTTCTCAAGAAAGCAATTGTAGTGTGCAGTGATGAACAGGTTTTTTAGGACAAGGAAAGGGTTGGTGCAGTGCATTAACTTACCGTTAAAGGTTGCGAAGGGACTTGCAGTGAAGTGAAGAGATGGGTACGGAGTAGAAACGGGACACATTTTAACTTTTTTATATTTGTCTGTTTGTGTTTTTTGTCTTTGTTCATAAATTATTTGTATGTATTTTCTTTTAACTTTTTATTTGTATTAGTTTTTTGCTTTCCTACCATCTATTGTATGTTCATTTACATAAATTGTTATTATTATTTTAAAATGTCAAGGAATTCGAAATGTGTGCAATATTTTAAATAATTAAAAACTGGAACAAAACTGGTAGACAAAAGAGAAAATATTGCAGATTTTTTGTTGTCAAATAAAATAACTGTTATGGTTGATTGTAAACAGACATTTAAGTCAGTAAAACGTGTTGTCGTATCTGAAAATATAAAAAGTAGTTGCATTACATGGCATTGGGTATGTCCAAAATATAACATCCGTAAGTTAATCCAAAAGAAAAATACTTTATTTAAGAAAAATATCATTTTGTATACATTATTTCATTTGTGAGTACAAGTGCTTGAAATGATGTCATATAAAGTTTCTCGTAAACATAATACTCTTCTTTAAAAATTAGCTTAGAATTCTGAATTTTCAGAAACGCTTAAAAGTCTCTCAAAAACTGCTCCATTTTTTTCTTTAAACTAATTGTACGGACAGTGCTAAATGTTTACTGAATAAACTAATTAATTTTATTTTTTAATATCTTTTATATCGTTAATATTTACATTAGATCATTTACTTAACATTATTGCATTTGCGAACTCAAGTATTTCAAATGATTTTTGATGAAGTATCTCGAAAACTCGAAGTTTCCTTGTGAAAATGAGTTCAAAATGGCTCATTTTCAAAAAGGTTCATACGACATTTTCTCGAGAATGGTTCCCAGAATGACAATTTACGTGTGGAACTAATATTCCGTAATATTCTTAAGGCATATCTTGATTCTAAAATTAGGGGACAGAAAACCTAAGAAAACGTAACAAAATTTCGTTTTGGTGCTGATAGGTAAGAACTGAGAAGAGAGTGGGTCAATTACGGAAAGCTAACATCTCACGAGCGAGAAAGTCTGCGGCATTATGTAGCACTTCTAGTTCTTGTCAGATAAAATCAAACAAATAGCGAATGAGTGATGTGTCCCACAAGTTTCGTTAGACAAGAGATATCGAATTAAAAAAATGATCGAGTGAAATTGGAACAGAGACCTGTATTGGTCCCATAGCAGCATGAAAGGATTAGATATTGGTGGCTATGGAAACTAAGATAAATGATAGTAGCAGCATCATACGGATGGACTGGGAGATAAGACAAAGGGTATTTTTTTTCCTTTTTATCTTTCCCTGTTGCACTCGAGTGTACCTGAAGTAACTTTTCTGTACTCCACACAATTTGGATTAGAGTTCACAGAATTATGAGTTCAGACATTACTAGTTTATTATAAGGCATTTAAGAGAGGTAAGATTAAAGGAGTGTGTGTTACAGAATATGCCATTGTCGCACATCCGAACATCTACCAAATATCATTCATTATCAATTTCGCCTCCGTTATTCGCAAAGTTATATACAGAAACACATCTTTGATGACATCCGTTGGTCTATAGCTTCCAAAAGCGCCGTGTTCACGCTGAAAAAAATGTCGAAAATAAGAAACATAAGAACTTTTGGAAATTAATAAGTTTTATCTTAAAAATCACGTAGCTCTCAGATTTTTTCTTCAAATGACGCTAAATTTACATTACTCTTTTTATCAAGCCAGTTTAATGTCTCCTTGCCTGTCAGTTCAATGTAAATCTACGTAATTCTCGAGATTTTGAACCCAATGTTGTTATTACGTGAGAAATGTATGAAACTATTATAATTCTGGAAACTTTCTAAATAATGGTTGAGCGTTAGTAAATTTCGACTCAAAACTCCAACACAGATATTTTTAAAACTTTTTGTAAACGTAACCCCTAAATTGAATTTAATGATGAGGGAAATGGAAAAAAAGTCGATATCCCAGTCATAAATTGCCACATTAAGTCCACATACTATTTATTCGCTCTAATCTGTGAGATTGAAAGTAAGTTCGGAGATTTTTCTCTGAATAAATCTTGTGGAACCCCGAAACTGTAGTATTCTACTGCAAGTGACAAGTCCATTCGTAGACAAAGCTACACCATTACCGCGTAGCTGCGTGCGTCATCTGCCGTCCCGCTAATCCTCGAAAACATCGGGCACTTAGCGCCACCTCGCCTCGCCCCTCCCGTCCCCGTCCCCAGGCCCCATTAAAACGGCGCGGCGGTCATTAGGCAAGTTCTCGGAGCCGCGGGCGACCCAGACCGCTATCCCGATCGTGCAGCGTCGCCCGCCGCCTGCTGACCACCGCCCACCTACTCACCAGCACGCAATGCGCCAGTTACGCCCGAAATTAAGACCAACTGACGGGTCTGCTCCGTCTTTGGCCAATCAACCCCTTCTGCCCGTCAGCCCGTCAACATTTCTGCCCGTCAGTCGGACTGCCCATCTGCCCAACTTGCCATCTTGCCCGTCAGTCCGACTGCCCGTCAGTCCGACTGCCCGTCGGCGACTGCCCGTCAGTCCGACGTGCCGTCAGTCCGACTGCCCGTCAGTTCCACTGTCCCGTCAGTCCGACTGCCCGTCAGTCCGACTTGCCGTCAGTCCGACTGCCCGTCCAGTCCGAACTGCCCGTCAGCTCCGACTGCCCGTCAGTCCGACTGCCCGTACATACACAATACGGTCCCAAGTCCGCTACCTGCCCGTACCAGTCTGACTGCCCGTCAGTCGACTTGCCCGTCCAGTTCCGACTGCCCGTCAGTCCGACTGCCCGTCAGTCCGAGCGTGCCCGTTCAGTCCGATGCACCAGTCAAGATGCGAGCTGGCCGCGGTCCTCCCGTCAGTCCGGACTGCCCGTCAGCTCCGACTGCCGGCAGCTCCGACTGCCCCGTCAGCTCCGACTGCCCGTCAGGCCGACTGCCCCGTCAGTTATCCGCGACTGCCCGTCAGTCGACTGCCCGTCAGATCCGACTGCCACTGTCAGTCCGACTGCCCGTCAGTCCGACTGCCCGTCAGTCCGACGCCCGTCAGTTCCGGACTGCCCTGCTCCAGTCGACTACCGTCAGGCGACTGCCACGGTTCAGTCCTGACCTAGCCCTCAGTCCGGACTGTCCCGTCAGTCCGACTGCCCGTCAGCCCGACTAGCCCGTCAGTCGACTGCCCGTCAGTCCGGACTGCCCCGTCCAAGATTCCCTGCACTGCCCGGTCAGTTCCGACTGCCCCAGACTGTCCCTCCGACTGCCGACTGCGCTCAGTTCCGTGACTGCCCGTCTCAGTTCCGACTGCCCTCAGTCCGACTGCCCGTCAGTCCGACTTGCCCGTCCAGTCCGACTGCCCGTCAGTCCGGACTGCGCCCGTCCAGTTCCGACTGCCCGTCAGGTCCCGATGCGCCGTCAGCGCTCCGTGACTGCCCCTACCGGACCTGCCGACTACAGATCCCGAACCCTGCCCCCCGTCGAGGTCCGCGACTGCCCCGTCAGGTCCGAACTGATCCCAGTCATGATCCGAGAGTCGTCCCGTCAGTCCCTGACTGCCGTCAGTTCCCTGACTGCCCGTTCAGTCCGGACCTCTAGCTCCGACATACCGCTCTGCAGTCGACTGCCGTCAGTCCGCTGCCGTCAGTCCGACTGCCGTCAGTCCTGACTGACCCGATCAGTCCGGAGGACGCCCGCAGTTCCGATTTGCCGTTCGTTCGACATGCCGTCACCGACTGCCCGGTCAGCCCGACTGCCACTCCTGCCCGACCTGGCCCATCTGCCCGACTGCCCATCTGTCCGACTGCCATCTGCCCTGACTGCCCATCTGCCGGACTGACCCAATCTGCCCAAACTGCCCATCTGCTTCTCGAATCCGCCCTCTGTCTCTATCTCCCGACTTGCCCACGCCGACTGCCGCCGACTGTCCATCTGCCTGTCAGTCCATTCTATCCAGTCACGCACCTTTTCCCGTCCTATCCGTACCGCCCATCCGTTCTTTGCGGTGCGCCGTCATAATATCCGTCTATGTCCATAATCCGCCGAGCCCTTGACTCTACTCCCACTGCGCTAAGCCCACCATCGCCCACCTCAGCCCACAGCCCCGGCGCGTCACATATGCGCGCAGCCCACCGGCCCCCGCGCACCATCAACTTCGCCTTCACTCAAGCGGCGCTTCCCCGCGTGACACAAAAGCGAAATCGACGCAGGTCGCAGGCCGCGCCGCCGCCGCTGCCGCCCAAGCACGAGGCGCCTGCCCCGCCGCCCTCGCCCAACCGCCGCCGACCGCGCGCCGCGGCGGACGCCGGGCTCACCGGCGGGACAGCTAGTCGAGCGCCGGCTGCTACGTGAAGACCGCCAGCGCGACACGATCAGCCCATTGGGCCTATACGCGTTATTCCTGCTGGTACACGATGACCTGATGGATGGAGGACATGGCTAGGGGTGGTTCTCTAGTGGACGAGGCCGGCGACGCACGCCACCGCCGCCGTGTGGGCGCCCGCGGACCCGCCGCCCGCGCCGCGCCGCGCCAGCGCCCCGCGCCTGCCCACGCACGTCCGCCCCACGTACTACAGGTGAGGCACGACCACGCCCGCGTCCACCACGCCCATTCATTTCTTTCATGCAGACAAGTGTTTGTCTGATGGGAATCAAAGCTACCTGCTTCCAAATGTAAGAAATATATCATTCTTTATGTTTCAATTGCCTTGATATTATTCTTCAATGTTTTACCTTTGTGAATCTGCCTTTTAACCGGATATTCCAATGACCGTAAGTGACCTTAAAAAGCGATACAAAATTATTGAATTGAATTGTAGCCTTATTTTCCGTGGCGAGGCTCAGGCCATCAGGCCCGCTCTTCCGCCTATTTCGCTATCCTCCTTTCACCCACTAACGGAGAAATGATATATTTATTGGGCGACGAAACAGGCGATTTGAATTTAGCTCAGAGGCTCCATAAAAAATGATTCACTGAGATAAGTAAATTACTTTATATCCAATTTTTAATAATTGTTTTTCTTTGATTTGTCATTAAGCAAAAAATGGATATTTTTGTAAGTTTCGGAGGTCGTCACATATTCGTCTGCTACTGGATTATAGTTGCACCCTGAAGACGTAGTCGAAAAAATGTGAATTTTGGCGAAATTGCGTGAACCAGTTGCAATAAATGATTAAAGGCTCAGTGTGTGGAGAACAATATTTATTGAGCTAAATGCATACCGACTTCAACAAGTTGTTTCTCTCAATATGAAGGGTTACTTTTCTTACCCATTGCGCGTACTACATTGTCTCTGTTTGGACTCGCAGAGTATCTCAAAAGATAGATTCCAGGCTGCTCCAGCAACGTTTGTTTTGAGGACGTGGTGATGATGATGCGGCTCATTTCATCTGAGGTGTTTACACTGTAAGCGATTTTACGTAATGGGGCATGTCAGGAATTGGTATCGTCTTCAAGACTGCTCGCAACTTGGTTGCAAATGTGTTTTCGAGAAACAAAGAAAGTTGATTTTGTAACTAATTTCGTTCAGATAATTTACTTTTAGTACTCTTAAACGAAAGTTTATATAAAACTGTTAATTAACCAGTAAATATTACAATGTATTTTTCACCATACACTTCTGCCGACGAAGTAGCCGAAATGCCTAAATGACAAAACACTGGAAAAACATAAATTCACTGAGACATTTTTTCAGCTTTCGAAACATCATCCGTACTCAACGACTTAGAAGGGAATCGTTATGCAAAGAAATAATTGTAGTTAAACTCTTATATAAACAATCAACACTTATGGCAAATAAAGAGATATGCCAAAATATGTTTCGGCTTGCATCGAACAATTTCACCTGGTTGAGGAAATCCCCGCTAGTCGGCGTGTAGGTCGGGGCCTGATCCAGCGGGGGAAGATCACCGCCGCCTCCCGTCGTAAAAACATGCCCTACACTTACGGGACTAATGATCTCCGTAGTTGACGCGCCCGGAATCACTAATCACTAGGGGGCGGATTTTAATGAAATGCCATTTTGTGTCTTTTCACTTTAGAACAATCTCGTTTAGTGTAGAAATTAATTTCATGTTATGACAAAACGAAATGACACCTTATGACATTTTTTTGCATTTTTTGTCGATTTCGAGTAATGTCATTTTTTTACCTTTTTAAGTCATTTGTACTGAATTTATCACTGATTTCATCAATTTTAATGTCATTTTAATGGTACTTGCTTCAAATAATATTTACGAGATGCAAAAAATGTTCACAACAGAATTCCTGAGTAGCCTATTTGATTTCTTCGCTCATACGTATTGTAATGTCAGCCGTTCTGAGTACTTTGTAATCTAAGGTTTCTGTGACATTTATCGGCGCCATTGTCAGTTCGGCCGATTTCGCGATAAATAAAGGCAGATATTTTCTTTTAAATAACAGTCCAAACCCAACGTTTTCAAGTTGAGCTCGCATAAACAAAAGGAAGACGCCTCGAGTACATCAGTAACATATCCAACACATCTGAAGTGGTTTTGATCAAAATTTGTATGTAATTTTTCTTTGTTTTTAAGGCATTTTAAAGCATTTTAAGGTTATTTTATTGATTACTGTTGTCAATGTTTTAGGTCATCAAAATCAACAGCTTGAGTTGTTTATTTGAAGTGACTTTAATCAAATCTTTCCGTCGTTTTTCTTTGTTTTGGGGGCATTTTTAAAGCATTTTATTGATCATTGTGGGCAATGTTTTAGGTCATGAAAATCAACAACTGTTCATTTGAATTGTTTTTGATCAAATTTTCCGTCATGTTTCTTTGTTTGGGGGGCATTTTTAAAGCATTTGAAGATCATTTCATTGATCATTGTTGGCAATGTTTTAGGTCATCAAAATCAACAGTTTAAGTTGTTCATTTGAAGTGGTTGTGATACAACTTTTCCGTCATTTGGGGGAGAGGGGAGGGGCATTTTGAAAGCATTTGTGGGCAATGTTTTAGGTCATCAAAGTCCGCCTCCCTATTAATCACTCCATCTTCCCGCTCGCCTGCTCGTTGCAGGATCCGCCTGATGCCGTTCCTGTCGCCGGGCAACTTCACGGCGGCGGGCGAGGTGTGGGTGTGGCTCAACTGCTCGGAGGCGGCGCGCAACGTGACGCTGAACGTGAACGAGCTGGAGGTGGAGCTGGCGTCGGCAGCGCTGCTGGAGCTGCCCGAGGGCGCCGAGGAGGGCGCGGAGCTGCCGCACGGCGACCCCGTGGTGGTGCGCGGCTTCAGCCTGCACAGCGACCACCAGACGCTGACGGTGCTGCTGATGCGCGAGCTGGCCGCCGGCCGCCGCTACGTGCTCTACCTGCGCTACACCGCCCACCTCAACGACCTGCTGCAGGGCTTCTACCGCAGCAGCTACGTCGACGACGCCACGGGGCAGACCAGGTGCGCCCCAGAGATGCCTCTCTTGGCACGACTGCTCGAAGTCTTCATGTTTCTTTTGTTCCCGTCTCATTCGACTAATGTCATTATGAAATGTCACATTCGCTTTGTCACTGTCGTAGACAAATATTAAGCACCTAACTAGTGGTGCTACAGAAAAGCACAGACTTTCTCGTAGTAAAGTTTTCTAATTTCCTTGGTGTGGACTGGCGTTACGGTCTTGCCCCATTCTCTAGCCAGCTGCCATCTATCGCCAACCCAAATTACATTGTGTTTTACATTTTCTCAATTTTTTTGTTTCCTAATAGTATAACTAAAATTTTACTTGATGAATATTAAAGAAGAGTAAAACCTCGTCATAAATGGCAATTTTCATTGAATAATTTGGAGCCGTTATTAAGAAAATGACGTTCAAGTGTTACTGTAAATGCGAAATGTAAACTTTTTTTCTCACAGAACATTTTTGAATTTTGGAAAAAGTTCATTTAAAGTCTTTGGCACTTTAACTCACAAATGTAATAGTGTTTACAAATCCATGGAAATGTGCATATTAACGGTGTGAGAGACAATTAAAAGAATACATTTGCATAATTAATTAATTAATTAAACTAATACTATACGTACAATTTTCACCAAAATTGATATTTCCCGATCGAGTTGGTTAATGTTGCTCGTGTTTTAAAAGAGAACCGTTTATTTTGATTTTGGGGGGTATTTTTCATGAAGCCTCAATGACGTTTTCACAATTTTCTCCGATTGACTCCGTGTTTTGGAAATTTGCCAATTTTTATACCAAATTGCTCAGGTCCGATTTTCGTTTATCTCTGCATTTCCGAAAATTGCAACATTTTCGGGCGTGTTTCCATTATAACAGCATTGAAGATAGAGATTTTGTCTTATTGGAATCTGTCCCTCTAAATTATATCTCAAATTAAGGTCATGCACCTCGGATGGCTCAAGAACAGAGCTCTAGCTTTACGTCATGCGATCCCGGGTTCTATTCCAACCGGCCAAAAATGGAGCTATGTCTTTCCCATAAAAATCGTCTCAGTTTCTGTAGCTATGTAACGAAGAATAGCTGGATACGGCGAAGGGAACACGGCTTGCCCGCCACATGTCACCCATATCCCCAAGGGTGGAAATTGAACTAGGCTCACGCGTTGGGGCTCCGGTACCTAGCTGACAAAGTCAACCCAAA